AAAATTTATTTATTTATTTTTACATTTTTCCACGAACTACTTTACATATCAAAAAAAACTTTTTGCTCATACTGCATAGTTCTTGACAGTTAATAAACAACTTTCAAAATTTTAAAATAATGTTCAAAATATTTCTTATAATTTTGTGTATGACTCTATAACAGCAGAAACAGTATGGTTTTAAATATTTTTGAGAAAATATTTACATGTCAACTACCCAAAATTTGTTGAAAAGCAAATACCCAGCACACTAGTCACACATAATCCTTCTCAGTTCTGCCCTGCCTACCAAGCATTCTGTGATATACCATCTGCTAGCAAAGATCAGTCTCTTTTTCGTCCTTCAAAGTCTTTCTCAAGATAATCCTCTGGTGTGGTTGCTCTTTTGCAATCTCTACTGATTACAATACTAAGCTGGAAAAGTCCAGGTTATTTTATGTTATAAATTCTTTCATATATCTTCTCTAATCCTTTCTGTCAGGCAAAACTATTTATGGGGCCAGGTCATCTTTCTAAGAGCTTCTGTTGGCTTACTCGAGATCCGCCTTTGTTCCATAGTTTTCCGATTGATCTTCAGACATGACATTCCAGTCAAAGCCCTGTCCAATAATCAGTATTTCCAATTTCTGATTCAATGCAACAACCATTATTGAACTTATGCAAATAACCCTTCTGCCATAAAATAAGAATACTCCTAAATATTTCTAATTTCAGAGGGGTCAGGAAGAAAAGTTTATGTTTCCATTTAGAGAAACAAATAAGAAAAATATTTTAACAAATTGCTGAACCTATCATCAACTCAAAAGAAAGTAAAATGTTTAAATTGGGAAAACAAAGCATAGTAAAAAAAAAAAAAGTAATATTTTACTCAAAGTCATAAAATTCTGTTTCACCAGTTCAGTCTTATGTTCAAACATTCTTCTGTTGAATATGCAGTGTTGCTGTGGTCCAATCTTTCCGTTTAAATCCTGGAAGTTAGCATTCAACATTATTTATATTTCTTGTCTCTAGCATTAAATTGGTTGTTTTCCTGGTTGCCTTTTGTTCTCTTATTTCTGTATGTGTCTTTAGTTTTCCTGTTTGAGCACTCCTTTCAGAACTTCTTGAAGAGTGGGTCTGCTACTGGCAAATTCTTTCAGGTCTTGTTTATCTGAGAATGTTTTTATTCTTTCTTTCCATATGAAAGATAATCTTACTGGGTATAGTGTTCTTGGTTGAAACTATTTTTCACTTAACACTTTGAATATATTTTCCCATTCTTTCCTTGCTCACATTGTTTCTGATGAGAGGTCCGATGTTAGCCTGATAGGATAACCTTTATAAGTAACCTGACATTTC